AGGGGCGCCTCCAGCACCTCGCCGCCTCCCCCTCCCCGGTGATTCCCAGCTCCGGAGCACCAGGAGTGTCCGGAGTGCGCGCCGGTCCCCGAGCATGACCTCCGCGTGACCCCGAGCCTCACGCCTCACTGCGGCCGGGAAAAGTGCCACGACTGTCGCGGCCAACTGCAAAGCCTTCTGGGGTCCAACCTGGCGGGAGAGCCCCCCCGTGTGAGAAGTGGGGGCGCCCTGGCGTTGCCGCGCCCCTCCCTGCCCCAGCAGCAGCAGCGCAGGAAGAGAGGGGGGGAAGAATGACGACAGGAGAGGAGGAGGAGAGCAGAGGGCAGACAGACGCAGTGCAGAGAAGAGTGTGTGTGTTTGGGGGGGGTCAGCTGTCAGGACCCACATCTGTCCTTCTCTTCCTCCTCCTCCTCCTCCTCCTGTCCCTCTGTCCTTCAAAACGGGGGGGGTGGGGGGTAGAGAAGGTTGGGGTGCAGAAAAGGTGGGGCAGGGGAACGGGCAGCTGCTTTTACTCCCTCTCTACTCCACTTTGCCACCTGCCTGAAAAAGAGCCGCGACAGGGGCCCGGGTCCCAGCGAACGGTTGGAGAGACGGGCGGAGAGGAAACGAGACAGACGGGAATGGACGGACAAGGTGGACCCCCTGTTCAGATCGGGGGCGACACGCGGCTTGGGAAATCGCCACGGGCCTGCTCAGTCACGCCTCTATACATGTGCAATTCCCCTCTCTCCCAGAGCTCCCCCGCTTCACAACACAACGCACAGCAGCGACTTCATTAGTGGAAAAGACACTTCACAGGGAACGAAACGCACCCAGGCACTGTTCTGGACTGGACCAAACTGAGCTACGCTGTACTAAAGTGCACGACAGTGCTCCAGACTGAACGCTAGTGTACAGTTTGGACCGGCACTGTTCTGTACTGTACCGAGCTGCACCACACCGGGCAGCAGTGTGTGAAACCGGCCCGCACTGGGAGTGAACTGCAGCGTGTGGACTCCTACTCCAGAGCGCGCGCGACGCTGTTCTGCACCCCGCTGGCCGATCCCACACGGGGGGGCACGGTGCCGGGGTCTCCTCGCGGGCTCTGGGAAACAAGTGTCCAGAAATGCAAATCCAGAGTTGGTTTGTTTTTGTACAATCCCAAAAGAAAGCGATAAAAAAAAATCTGAAACGAAAAAACTCCGGGAGCGAGACTGTGAAACGACGCAGGGAAATGTTGGAAATGACTGGGAACGCTGGAATGGGAACGATGCCGGGCGAGAGATGGCCCGTGCCGGGAATCCGGGCGGCACTCCCCCTCCCCCGAAGAGCTCGGGCAAAGAGAAGACAAAGCGGATGCCGGCAGCGACCGCGAAACGTTTGGATGTCTGTCTTCACGTGCCGCCTAGCTTAATCGACTTCACCGGCGGAGTCTGCCCGGCGCGAGAGGCTGCCGGGGTCCACAGCCCGTTTAAGGGAGACGGGCCGGTCAGGAGCGCTGACCTGAACCCCAAACCCAGTTCCCCCACCCCCCTCCTCACCCCCGGGGGATCAGCCCTCAGCCCTCCGCTCGGCGAGGGGGACAGTCTCGCGGGGGGGACAGTCCAGCTGTCGGGCAGGGCTGGGGGGCTCGGGGGGTCGTGACCTCTGGCCAGCGGAGGCGAGCGTTCAGCGCAGCCCGTGACCTGGTCCGTCCGGGAGGGCCGAGTCGAGTCGGGGTGTGGTGTAGTGTTTTTAAGGTGTGGTTCGTTTTAGGGCGACAGCCCTCCTCCCGGACACAACAGGACACGCCAAGGGTGGAGCGAGGCGTCGGACCCATTCCTGAGAGGCGCACAGCGCCGGAGGGCTCTCTGTGCCCTCGTGCTGCCCGCGCGCTCAGGAAGGGCATCTGCAGACTCACCTGTGCCTTCTGCAACAACAACCACCACCACCACCACCAGCTCTTCCGTCTCGGACGCTTCCCGAGAGCCGTGGCGTCGGAGAGGACTGGGCATTCGACCACAGCGCCTCGGTTCACGTCATGCCTCCCCCAACCCCCCTACGGGACCCCAGCACCAGGACGCCACCCCAAGTCTTTGGAGACACCAGAGCACATCTCGTGAAAATGACCCCACGTAGCTTTTTTTGAAAGTTTTTTCTGTTTTGACCACTAAAAAAAAAATAACAACACAGCGATCTTACATTGGACAGCACGGGGAGCGATCGAGACACAGTCGCCACCTCCTTCCTCCGCTCCCTCTCTCCCTCCCTGTCTCCTGCCCTCCCGGGCTGAGGGGACGTTATCTGCTGTAAGTCCGGGACACCAAGTTGCCATTCTGTCCGCGTGATGACGAGAACTCGCCCCCGCCGGCGCCCCCTATCTGCGGGCACTGGGGCAGCAAGGGCGACGAGGAAGAGGAAGAGGACGACGACAAAGGGGGCCTGCTGTAGGAGGAGGGGGCCGAGGCGGCGGCGGCGGCGGCGGCGCCGGGGGGCAAGGGGTGGGGCTGGGACAAAAGGGACGAGTTCGGCCCCCGCGCGCCCTGGCCCCTGCCAACACTCCCGCCACTGTTGCCGCTGGCGGCGCCAGCTGCCCCCGCTCCCTGCTGCAAGTTCAGGATGCTGTCGATGGCGCTCTGCAGGTGCTCGGTGAGCGAGTCGTCGGGCGGGGGGCTGCCGCTGGAGAAGCTGGCGTTGTCCACTTCCGGAGAGTCCGATTTCCGCCGCTTGGCGGGCAGCGCGGAGTCCCAGGGGCACGAGGCCGCCGGGGGAGGGAGGGAGAGGGGCGAACTGTGCCGGTCGGCCCCAGCGGACCCCCCCGCCGCCTCCCCCCCGCCGCTCTTGGATCTGGCCCCCCGGGCTCGCTCCGGGGCCCGGCCCCCCTGTTCCGCCCGGTGGCGGGAGTGCGTCTGGCGGTGGTGGCGGTTTTTGGTCACGCCGCGGTACAGCACCTCCTCGACTTCGGCCAGCTCCTGGATCAACCCGGGGGAGCCCGGCCGGCCCCCCCGGCTGT